CGATTTTGTTTTGGAGATGAAACGTGTTTGGCACATTAATGGATTCAAAATATTTTTTTTTGAAGTAGCAAGGAAATGGAGAACTAATTCTGACGTATACATTACAGTGTGAAGCATAAAGTATACGACCTCTCAAAGATTAAAGAGGGCAGGGCACACAGATTGACGGTGATATGAAAGATATTTTTTAGAGAAAAAAAAAAACAAGTAAAAAAACATTAAGTTCGGTCGGGCCAAACTTTTAATACTCTCCGCCTTAGGGTAAAGTAAACATTAGAAGAAATGTGGCAAAAACCATTAAAATGCCGAATATCGGCAGGTACCTACACATACAATGTTTCGCCAACGGAGCTAGAACCCATTATGACCTACAAATACCAATTTTCAGACAAATCCATGAAAAAATGTGGCAAAAATCATCAAATTACCGAATATCGGGAGATACCGTTATATGGGGGCTATACCAAAACGTGGACCTGTAATTACAATCACTCGCCACACGAACTAGGATCCATTATGATCTACAACTACCAATTTTCAGAGAAATTCTTGAAAAAATGTGTCAAAATTCATCAAAATACCGAATGTTGGGTGGTACCGTTATATGGGGACTATATCAAAACGTGGACCTATACATACAAAGTTTCGCCACACGAACCCCATTAGGACCCATTATGACCCACAAATACCAAATTTTAGACAAATCAGTGAAAAAATGTGGCAAAAACCATCAAAATACCGAATATTTGGAGGTACCGTTATATGGGAGACCCATACATGCAATGTTTCGCCACCGGAGCTGGAACCCATTATGACCAACAAATACCAATTTTTAGGCAATTTTTAGGCCAAATATCGGGAGGTTCCTTTATATGGGGGCTATACCAAAACGTGAACCCATACATGCAATGTTTTGCCACACGCACAGGGACCCGTTGTGACCTACAAATACCAATTTTTAGACAAATCCGTGAAAAAATGTGGCATAAATCATCAAAATACTGAATATCAGGAGGTACCATTATATGGGGACTGTACCAGAACGTGGACCGATATATCTCATTTTCAATACCAACCATCCTAGACACAATACAAATTGCTCTGCTAAATTTTGGCGCTTTACGTCAAATAATGTGGGCTGTATCGTGATTTCAACAGACAGACAGACAGACGGACATCGTTAAATCGACTTAGAATTTATGCTGATTATAAATATATATACTTTATGTGGTCTACGACGAATATTTCAGGATGTTACAAACGGAATGACTTTAATTAATATACCCTCCTTTCCAAGGTGGAGGGTATAAAAATATTTTGTGGTGAAAATCCATGCTGAATATATGGAGACCCATCACCACCCAAAAGTCAGATAAACCGATAGATTATCTTTTGAGAAATCGTGTGATGATTTGCTTTTGCTGGTATACGGGTTTACTTGATGAAATTTAAATGTAGCTTCATCTGTTTTCGGCGATAAATGTAAAATTCTGAGATGGCCTATTTTCAGTTAAATCTATCAAATACAGGGTTGTCCATATTCGACGGACCCATCTGGCAACGCCATAACTTTTGGCAGAGATGTCACATCGCTTAATGACATACCGCGTTTGAAGCGTCAGTCCAAGCAGATTTTTACCATGAACCAATACAGACCACGCGAGCGCTCTGAAATAGTTGAAATTTACATTCAATAGAAGAAGTCAATTGTGAAAAAAAATGTGAGAAGTGCGCCTTCTAAGAACACCATTAAGCCTTTATACGAAAAATTTTCGACTGGTAAGGCTTTTTTTAATCCGAAGAGGCCATATAAAAGTCGACCAAGGCGATCGGCCGAGAATATCGCTGCCGTACGAGCCAGTGTTGAGAGGTTCCCAAGAACATCCCAAAAACGCCGTTCTCAGCAGTTGGGCATGGCTCGGTCCACTTTACAACGGATTATTCGCACTGATTTGCATTTGTTCCCGTACAAAATTCAATTGACGCAAAGAATGTTGCCTGCCGATTGGAATGGGCCCAAAGAGTCATGGGTCCGTCGAATATGGGCAACCCTGTAAACAATCGTCGCAGTATGTATGCTATCCCATACATTAAACTCTGAACTGAACCCGGAATTTGTATTACAAACAATAAGACCTGATAATGGATCTTTAGGAAAAGTTTGCCAAGTTCCTTACAAACATTCTGGTTTCAGTGTTTTGTAAATATTTCAAGGGTTATTTTTATGCCCTCCACCTTGAAAAGGAGGGTATATTGACATTGTCATTCCGTTTGTAACATCCCTAAATAATCGTCGTAGACCCCATAAAGTATATACAGGGTGAGATGAAAAAAACTGCAACCAACTTCAGACTGCTGTCATTTCTAAGCCAATCGTCCTACAGCTGTTAAAATTATTCCAGTGACAGCTCATTATATTGTTTACATGCGTACAATAGCATTTTGGTGAGAATTTTCCAGACAAAAAGTTATTCGTAATAGAATTCAAGCGTGATTTCTTTATATTTGGCTGGAAAACCACAACTGGCGTTAGAGCACTCCAGCATTTAAATGCGAATAAATCTTTTGTGTCTCGTACCATCGCTCGTTGCCGTGTTACTGGTAGCGTAGCCCGACGTCAAGAAAGTGGACGGAAGAAAACAGCAACATCAGCAGAAATGGTTCGAAAAGTAATGAAATATATATATATCATGAAATATATATATATATATATATATATATATATATATATATATATATATATATATATATATATATATATATATATTGAAATATTCCATCTGGCAAATATTGAAAAATGAGCTCGGGGTAAAACCATTGAAATTCCAAAAAGTTCTGTAAGTTCTTGCAACAGAAAGAAAATAGACTCAAAAGAGCTAAAGACTTGCTTCGCTTGGTCGAATGTGGTGAACTGCCGAATTTGGTTTTCTCCGATGAGAAAACATTCGTCGTCCAGCAATTTGTAAACAAACAAAATGATCGTGTTTACTTGCCAAAGAGGTTAGCCGAAAATGTGCACCTTCGGTTGGCCACCAGAACTCAAGCGCCGGCCATGGTGATGGCTTGGGCCGCCATAATAGCCAATGGTCGATCTCCGCTCGTATTAATCGACGATGGAATCAGAATAGATGCCGAATATTTTCGCCTAAATATTCTGGAGGGTATATTCAAGCCTTGGACTCGCAAACATTTCGGCCGCAGACCTTAAACATTCCAACAGCACGAATGAGGTTCCTCGCATCATTTCCAGCTCACAATGACCACCAAAATCTCCGGATACCAATCCGTATTTGGGAAAGCCAGTTTGGCACTAAAAAATACCAAAGTGTCGATCACCTCAAGCAAGCGCTTCGTCGGGAATGGGCTAAAATACCGCAGAGCAACATTCGGGCAGCGTGTGGCGGTTTCATTAACCGTTTGAAGGCCATAATTCGTGCCAAAGGTGACCAATTCGAACAAATCTAAACTTATTCTAAAATTTGATGGTATTTCCGACAACTTTTGCTTTGATACCAATAAAAAAAAATTAAAATTATGGCGTTGTGTTTTGTTGCAGTGTTTTTATCTCACCCTGTATATTCATGATCAGCATAAAATTCTAAGTGAATTGAAAAATGTCTGTCCGTCTGTTGGAAACACAATACAGCCCACATCATTTGACTTAGAGCTTCAAAACTTAGCACAACAATTTGTATTGCGGGTAGGATGATTGGTATCGAAAATGGGATATATGAGTCCACGTTTTGGTATAGCCGCCATATAACGACCGATATTAGGTATTTTCATGATTTTCGCCACATTTTTTCACGAATTTATCCAAAAATTTGTATTTGTGGGTCACAATGGGTTCTACTTTCGATGGCGAAATATTGTGTGTATAGGTCCAATTTGCTGTACAGCCCCCCATACAACGGTACCTCCGGATATCACAGATTTGTCTAAAAATTGGTATTTGTTGGCCATAGTGGGTTCTAGCTCTGGCGGTTAAATATTGAATATTTAGGTCCACAATACCAATACTTGGTATTTTGATAATCCTAGTCAGGATCGGGCATTGTCATGACAAGTTTCGGTTTTTGCTTCTCATCCTCGCATATATGACGATAATTGGTGTTGCTTCCCATTATGACTCTTGTTACAATTTCGCACTCTATATGGTTAAATGACGCCAGGGATAATGTCTACAATTAGGTTTGTTTTGCCAGACTTGTTTGGCCATATCTGTGACCTGTAATCTGTTATCTCATTTTCCGCAATGTTAATGTGGTAAGTGCAGGTTTCCATTGAAATCAGATGGCTATTGTTGATTTTCTTTATGTATATAAAACGATTTGGGCGCCATCTACCTAGCTAACCTATGCTTAATCCCTTTGTTCGGATATTTCGGCAGGACACCTTTCCCAAGCGAATAGAACGAGCAGTCACTGAGTTATTGGGATTTTTTTTCAAAGGGAAATTTTGCATAAGGTCCAATGAAGAAGATAGAAATTGGCCACTGATCATCAAGACCATAAATACTAATTTTGTCCCTTTGGTTTTTAAATTTCCTTATTCTTCATAGATTGACACTATCCTCTCTCACAGATGTAACTCCCTTTGCAATATCTCAGGAATAATAAGAGTGGGAATACATACAACGCTCTTTTGGCTTAAGTCAACGGGACAAATAAGTTTTAGGTTGACTTAGCTCGATTCTACGCTCCTTTTTTCTTTTACGAAGAAGCCAGCCAATGACTAAAGCTAGTCAAAAAAGCGTTTGATGGATTCTTACTTTAAGACTTTGGAGAAAATCAATACAATACTTTTGTCCTCTTAAGAGAGTCACCCCAGATAACAAATAAATAATATTTTTTTAATATTGTAATTTTATACAAACACTTCATTTTTATTAAAAATAAGCGGGTTTATTCCATTTTCGAATAGACCTTTTCATAAAGAAAACAACAGAAAACAATAAAAAATATCCCTAAGTACATGTCAATGCAAGGATACTCTGGTCCTTACAATCTTTGGTATCTGGTTGTGTAAACAATGGCACTGGGTTGACGGATCTTAGCCACTCTCAAACGGGCTGGTACCGATGTGGGTGGTTGACGTCTTTGGGGGAAACGTTGATAGACCAGACGGGCGGGTTTCTGATCAAAAGTGGTGGAAACGGCAATGACGGAACCGTCGTCACTAAGCAAAACTTCTTCCTCTACTTCATCAACATCTTCAGCTTCGGCTTCTGCTTCTTCTTCCAACTCTTCTTCGACAGGAACTACTTCTTCTGTTTCCTGGGGAAATTCTTCAGCAACCTCGGTGGTGGATGTTGTTTCAGTTTCTGGTGGACCATAAACTGCGTCGGGCTGAGGTTCTTCGGGTTGTTGTTGGGGTTCAACTGCTTCTGGTGGACCATAAACTTCATCGGGTTGGGGTTCAGTTGCTTCTGGTGGGCCATAAACTTCATCGGGCTGTGGCTCAGGTGCTTCTGGTGGACCATAAACTTCATCGGGTGTTTGGGTCTCGGTAGGCAATTCAAATGGTACTTCAGGTGTAACCCCGGCTGGTGGATAACCGGTGGGTGCTGGTGTTGGTGGTGCCACTTCTTGGCGTGCTGACACCCGTCTTCTTAGAGGTTTTTGACGTATGGGATCAGCGGCTGCACAGCCGATTGCCACAGCAAGAAAAACAATCAAAAACTTCTTCAACATTTTTTTTTTAATTTTTTGTCAGAATTCCGGGAAAAAAGAGTTAAGGATGTTTTGCGTTTTCTGTTCAATTGATAAGTACACTGATATCCGACAGATATTCTATTCTTATATACAAACGGGCGGAAGTTCTTTTCCGGCTGTTATTTTATGACAGTTCTTATGGAGAATTTTAATTTACGAGCCTCGGCAATAGGTTTGTGGAGCAAATGTTATTGAAATACTTCTTCCTAGTTTGGACTGAGCATGTGTTAGTTTGACGTACATGAGCGGTGTGAATTTTCAAAGTTCTTGAACCCATGCATTGACTTGGGCCTAGTTTCAGTGAAGCCAGCATTTATTTGGCTTTGTTTTTGCTTGAGGTTCGATGTCTGACAGCGTTGGCTCATGTCGTTGGTATATCTATTGGCCTACGCAGCAGCACGTGAGACTTTTTTCAATGTGCATTGACCGCGTCTCCCTGCCTCCTCGCATCATACCGTGGACGCCACACATTATTGTTGTTGTTGTTGTTGGTTTTATAATTCAAAGCATAATCGCTGAAATTTAAAAGTGTAATAATGGGTTTCCAACCTTGCGACACTGTTTTTTTTTTTTCTTGTTTTTTTGGTTGCTGGTGGATAAGTTCAATAATGCTCACCGTATACGTCAATAATCGATGATTATGTACAAGTTCGAGCAATAAATTGAAGAAATATTAATGGACACGTACAAACAAAATATATATTATGTGGGTAGATATTACTTTGTATTATCCACCGAATTGTGGAAGAGACCGGCAAATTGGGGTTACTCTAAGAGAAATACAAATTGAAAAAGAGCTTTATACAAATTGCAAAGAGAATTTTTATTTGAAGGTCAATTGCTGCATTTCGTGTCATACCGTCAAAGAAATCTTCTTGATATGTTCAAAAACCAAGAACAACGAATTTGAGTGGCTGGCCTGTCACTTGCTTAAATTGTGTTCCACTTGGATATTTTCCAAGAAGGACAGGCAAATGACTGATATTGATAGATCTGAATGATTTGTGGAAAATATTCAACAATAAAAGACTTGGGTTAAGTGTATGATGTAGGTAGGTACAGCAGTACATTTTTATACCCTCAGCATTTGGCTACAGAGGGTATATATCATTTGATACGGTCAAAACGTGCCTAGTCGTTTTAGACCTTAGGTCTTTTTGGACCAAATCCGTTTCAGAACATTTGGAGTCGATCTAGCGATGTCCGTCCGTCTGTCTGGCTGGCTGGTGCGCACGATAACTCTCGAAGGGAGTATCCGATTTGGTCCAAACTTGGTACATCGTAATATCTTTGTCAAACTTAGATCGAGTTCGGAGATGGGCAATATCGGTCCACTCCATCAAGTACCTCCCCCACAAATGGTCAAAATTTTGAATAATTACAACTCTCATAAAATGTGATGTACGAGTCCGATTGTCTTCAAATTTCACACATCCCAATATTTATATTAACCCAAAGTCTGGTGTTAAGATGAGTAATATCGGTCCACTACTTCTGGTACCTCCTCCACAAAAGGCCGAAATTTGCAAAAAATATATTTTTTGCACAGAAAGAGAAGGGATAATCAGATTTTTCTCCAGCTTTGCAAATCCTAATATCAGTTCTAGATCAGGTGTGAAAATGGACAATATCGGTTCACTCCTACAAGTACCTCCCCCACAAATGGTCAAAATTTTGAAGAGTTACAACTCTCATAAAATGTGATGTAAGAGTCCGATTGTCTTCAAATGTCGGACATCCCAATATTTATATTAACCCAAGCTCTGGTGTTGAGATGGAATATATCCGTTCACTCCTTTTTTGCACAGAAAGAGAAACGATGATCCGATTTTGCTCCAACTTTGCAAGTCGTAATATTTGCATCAGTGCTAGGTCTGGTGCGAATATGGACAACATTGGCTCCCCCACAAATGGTCGAAATTTTAAAAATATATATTTTCTGCACAGAATGGGAAGCAATAATCTAATTTTGGAAAACATAACGATCAAAGGAAGCGAAATCCAACTCTCTTCAAATTTCACACATACAAGCATTTTTGCTAACACCAGATCTGTTGTGAAGATGCTATATATCTGCGAACACCTGCTGGTACCTCACCCACAAAGGGACACAATTTTCAATATTTTTATCTGTCATAAATTGCGAAACGACTCAGCGATTCTTTACAATTGATTTATCCATCTGCTATTATAATATTTATATCATAAGCCCATATTTAGGTCCGATACGAAATGAACAATATTGACCCATTCTTTCAAAACCCCACTCCATAGAGGGTGAAGAGGGCTGAGGGTATACATCTGTCGGCAAAACCGACCGAAAAATGGGTTTGGTGTTCTGAAACAAGGTCTTATATATATATATATATCTATAAAAAAATTAATTGGTGTTTGTTGGTAACGGAATCAGTTGAAAACGGCTGGACCGATTTGCATAATTTTTTGTAAAAACTTTCGTCATACCCCGAGTTAGGTTTTTAAAGAAAAAAATATAGACCACGCCCACTTTTGCGCCCACAATTTTGATTTATCTAAAATCCTTATATTTGCCAATATAGAGGAGATATCGGTTTGAAAATTATTGCACGAGATACTGTTGACTTTCCATCCCCCTCTAAGTATTTATTTGGGGCTAAGGAACTGTCGTTGTCAGTACTTTTTAATCTATATCTATCTCTATATATAAAAGAAAGTTGTGTTAGTTACAACGCTTATAACTTAAGAACCGCTGGACTGATTTTAACGATCCATACAAATTCGGATTTGTCTCCTCTCCGAAAAGGATAATATCCAAAAAAATCACGTAAAAATGTGATATATTAACATTTTCATTTTGACTTTTGAAATGTACAATAGTAATGTTTTATTTTGCATGATTTTTTTCCATTTTGACTTACTTTTTTCTAATATACATTTGTAGTGTTTTTTCTATTTTATTTTTGAATTCGAATATTAATATCAATTTATTTAATTGACTTGGTTTCTTGAGAACTGAAATTTATGGCGGGTTACATGAAAATGTAGTACCGAATTATGTGGTGGCGGAACGGAATAGACGATATCGAAATAATTTAACGCCGTCACACCAAAGTTAAAAGATAATTACTTTTTCAAAATCGCTTAAAAATCACGAAAAAGAGATCTCATTGCAAAAATTCTCAAATCGGGAAAATATCGAAAAAAAAAATTCAATGGAATTGAATTTTAAAATAAAAGTACATTCTATTGACAATCTTTGTAAGGATCTTTAAATAGTTGCTGTAAAAATCAGCGAACAAGTTGAAGATTTTTTCAATTTGTTATTCTTCTTTTGTCAATTTTTTTTCAACTTGTATTATCATATTGAATTCAGTGGATTTTTTGTGAACAAAATAAAGAATAATTTTTCACTATATACAATTTTTCACTAAAAAGAAATCAAATAAGTGCGAAATACGATGTTAACTGACTTCGTGCTTCAGCTGGAAGATGCGCACACATTTAAACAAACAAAAATGACCGAAAAAGACTAATGGGGCTCATTTCAAAGTGTGGACCTACTTCTTTCATGTAACAATAATCCGTCCAATTAGAGCTCAAAATGTAAAATTTTTTGGGAGTAAATCAGTAAAATACCAAATATAAAGGGTGAAAATAGTAGAGCGAATGGGACTTTTAGTAAGAAAAGGATTTATATCCTTCCAGAAATTCTTCCCGAACATTCAAGATACATTACTTCTATATGAAATAAATTGTGAAAACATGAACAAATTACAAATATAAGAAAGTAGCACGGGACCGAATATTTGTTGAATCGTCATTAAATTATACTATGATGAAAATTATGGACTTTATGGGGTTTCCAACTTACAATTTAAATGGCAAATAAAATTAGTTCCCATCTTACGGTAATGAGTGTAAAATAGTAATTATAGTTGACTATTCTAAAACCATTCTGCCCATAATTATGAGGTGGATAAAACTATTTTTACTTATTTAAACCACGTGATTTTTTTTGGTGAAAATCTTACACAAAAATGTCAACATATCTACAAATTTTAGAATTTTGTCCATGACCGACATGGTTAGTCGGACTTATGAGGACTCTAATGTACAATCTGAGGTGCTAATGGGTTTAAAAAAGTAATTAACTTTGAACATTCTTAAATCATTCAGCCCTTAATTATGAAGTGTACAAAATACAGTAAATTCCAAATTACTGCTCATTTGACTGGGAAATTTTGCTACGATTTTTATCATACTAAAAATTGATCCCTTTCATGGGGATAAGATTGATATATGCTTTTGAATAGATTTGTATAGCACATTCACACATTTGAAGCCCACGACTTAAATATGGGTACAGGTATTTTAAAACACTTTTAATCGACCAGTACGTGAACACTTATATCAGGCATATCTGTGAATAGTTATGCTTTGACAAATATGCATAATAGACAAAAACTACGGGCCGGCAACGCGGACCGGGCCAGCTAGTATATATATATATATATATATATATATATATATATATATATATATATATATATATATATATATATATATATATATATATATATATATATATATATATATATATATATATATATATATATATATATATATGTATATATATATATATATATATATATATATATATATATATATATATATATATATATATATATTCTTGGTCAGCATAAAATTCCATGTCCAGTAAGCGATGCCCGTCCTGTGGAAATCACTCTAGCTTCCGAACAAAATGAAATAGGTTGGTAAAATTTTACTCAAATGTATATTATATCTGCAGAACTATTGGTATTGAAAATGGACAATGATGACATTATTCACCGTTTTTTTTTTAAATTTGAATATTTGTAAGGGCTTATGTAGGTCCACGTCGTCGTATATTCGGTATTTTTAAGATTTGAAAGGGATTTTAAACGGATTTTATTTTTTCTTTAATTGCTATTTTATTTCCAAACGGTGGAGCGAATTTAACTGAAAACAAGTAATTGGCCAAAGGCGACAGCCGATCGTGGGATACTCTACAACTCTATAGATTACGGTAATGTTTCTGTAGACCTGAAACCCTTTGGCCTGGATATTGGGATACATAAATGAACTACTTAAAATATCATTCTTCTTTGCTTCTTAAGTCGTTACAAAGAATGTAATAAATTACTGCTTTAATATCATTAATGGCATCATTGCACTACTCCGTTCGAACATGAGCAGAACCACCATACAATGGAAAATTCTGGGAATTTTAATTATATTTACACATTGTTCGTGCCTTTGGAAATCCGAAAAAAAACATTTGAAAATTAGGGTTAAAGTGTATATTTTGCTAGAGCCACATATAAAACAAATGCACTTTTTATGG